GCAGTGAAGACAAGCTAGGCGGCGCTTCCATGGTGCAGATTTGGCATATCGTTCAAAAGTCGAATCATTAAGAAACAAAGTCTAATAAACAGAGAGATTAGCACAAAGCTTCATATAAGAAGGACTCAATCGTGATCCTGTCACCTGGGCAAAGGTGGAGTTCCTGCAGGTTTGTTGGCTGGATAGCATGAAATACAAGGAGATGATCCATCATAGGAGAGACATACAAGTAAAGTCACGATGCGTCTCGCAACTCAGCATCCCCTCTATTTCTCCTTCCTCTTCCCTTCCCTTGTTGACGCTGGGGAATGTGGGGACCAAGCACTTCAAGTCGAATACTTAATCAGCAAGGGACATGCCCTACGCCCATATAACTCTAAATCCTCCGGTAGTTTCAAAACCATCCCTGAGTCAGATCGAGAGCATCGCGTAGAATAGACTGGGGGGAATTCAAGGCGAGTTTAACGCAAGGGTCAACGGTCAATAAAAATCAATGGTTATTTATCACTGTCTCGGCCGTAGGTATAGATATATGGGAGTCGGGGTCACCATCAACAGAGCACACCTCAGTTAAATCACTACCAGTTAAGCAGCAAGAGTCAAACAACGATGCTACCCAAGTATTCCCTACTCTTCATCTCCTTTTGTTTATTGAACCTCGTCTCCGCGTTCCTAGTGTATCTCTCCGAAACCAGCGGAGAGACAGCCCATTTCCACGAAGCAAAGGCACGTCCATGACAACCCCTTCTTCAGTCAATGCCCAGTCCTAATTTTTGGTCAACTATAAAGAGCCAGGAAAAAGCCACTATCACAGCAGACACAACGTCTAACGTACTATCTCCTGTTGACACGGTCTGCAAATCATGGAAATCAGCCTGCTGGCTCACGAGCCACCATGGCCCATTTATCTCGAGTAGACCGGTCGACGAAGGCAGTGAAGACGAGGACTGGGTATCTGTTATCGAGTATACTACTTTGTATTCTGAGCGGCCTGCTGAGCAGTTGAGGGCGCCTGTGATGATTATGTTGATTATGATGTGGTTAGCTGTGTTGGCGGTTGGAATCGTGGAAGGGATTGAGTTCGTGTTGGAGCGATGTGGGTGGATGGGCGACTGCGAGGGTGATTGTCTGTGTGAGAGGTGTGATGAGGAGAAACTTGGTTTTGGATGGGAGGGTTGAACCGCGTTGCTGTGATTGCTCTTTGGCCGACGATAGAGGCGAGGGATGCGTTTCTATTAAGGTATAACACGCTTGTCCATGATCAAGTGTTTCATTTCAAGTTCTATGGTACATAGCCATGCAACTGCAGACACAGTCCGAGCACAATGGAGGATTAATTAGAAGTCAACTTTTCGCTCATACGCCTTCCGCCGTCATTGATATCATAAGTATTCGAGTTCGTCGTGATTAAGCTCTCTGATCACTTTCCAAAGGCTGATACCAGGTCTTATCGTCGACTCCCTTCTTCTCGACCGGGCCTCGGACAGCATCAGCGGCGCCAGTATCTGCAGCCTTGCGCTGAGAGTAGTTTTCGGCGAAGCGGCCAGGGTCTTGGTCGCTGCCAATTTCTGAAGTGAAGCTGGCGTTATTGTTGGGGTCACTATCAAAGCCACCCTCCTGCAAGTTGTTGCCCTTGGGTTTGGTGTGAGTATGCTGCCCGGTCACACTCTGGATGTACGAGGGGGCCTGGCCGGCATTGTACTTGCTGCGGTGACCACTTCCACTTGCCTCAGCGGGCTGGGACTGAGGCTGGGATTGGGATTGAGACTGAGATTGAGTCTGAGATCGGGTCTGAGGCCGAGAGCTCTGCTGGGAGGTGGAATATTCGCCCTTGTTGATACCCAGATCCCGCTTGGCAGCCGTCGAGCCGCCAGTGTAGCCAGTCTCTGGAACATGGGCACCAGGGAACTTCCCTTGGCCACCCATATTTTCAGGGTACTTCTCTTTCTTGTCTAGCTCCTCACGGGTGGCAGCGTCGGGAGCAGAGGACAGCTCAGTAGCGCCAGAGGTGTCCGTGTTATTGAATGTAGATTGACTGCCAGAAACCCCAAGAGGTTCGGCACCCCGGTTCTGGTTGTAGTCACCACCGGACCTGGCTGATTCGGCAGCAAGGGAGTCGTTGGCGACAGGTCCAGAAGTCTCCTTGTTTGGATGTCTTCTAGCTTCGGGATCTGTCGTGACCTGCTCGAACATTTAGCCAGATGTTTGTATAGAGCTGAATTGCATTGCTTCACGTACCTTGGTGTTTCTCTGGCCGGGAGGGACGGGTTTGCCTTGGAGATCCATTATGATGTTCTTTGATCTGATCAAGAATTGATTGTTGGGAAGGGATATAGCTATGTGAGATGCAGTTGATTCTGCTTCACTAGTCGATGTGTCTGTAGTCGAGCACAGTATGTTGCGTCGATGGAAAGCTATATAGCAATGACCACTAGATGTTGTAGTCCTGAATGCTAGCTCATCCAGCCGGGTGATGTCACTCTGACGGTACGAAACCCCCGCCCCAAGACACTCAGATTGCCAGCAAGCGACATCAGAGAGACAGGTACGTCAATGAACCAACACCACTGCCCTTGAGTGGCGCAGGCAACAGAAGACCGAGTGGAGAAGAGTGATAGACAGAAGACATTTGCTGCAATATGTTGCAATCACCCTTAGGTTTCCAGACCGAAACCTCCGCTCTCGATCAAATCATATCGATTACACGGCTCCATCCTTGCAGGGCATGGATCGACTGTCGAGCTCTCCACATGCTCAACTGCTCGGTTCGGAGGTCAACCATGATTGCGCAATGAAGTGTCGTTCGACGGTCGATGCTGGGGAATCTAGAGCTGACTCAACTTGTTTGACGTCATGGCCTCAGGCCATCAAGGTATACTGGGACATTGGACATTCTCGGCCAAACACTGACCGCAGAGATCAGGAAAGTCATGGTAGGATGGTCATAGAAATCGAATGATTATTTCTCATTTAGCATGTCGCAGTTTATCTTGGTACGTGCAAATGCACTGCACTACTGTTCAATGGGTGGGTGACGTTCATTTAAGCTTGTACATTATAAGTCACGTGACATTATAACTTGTACAAATCTGGACGCTAGTACATCTCTATCCATACGAAATTTAACGTCGGTGATTGCCTCCACACTACGAGCAGATCTTATTGTCAGTATCGTCAAGCTTTTATGCTTCTCTTCGGCTGTTCTGTGCTCTCGTGAAAACTTTCGCAGGCTTTACCCGGGCATATACAACTCTGTCCTCTATGTACTTGTCTGCAAGCTGGGATACTAGAAGACTTTTTTATTTGTTTGGTATGGATTATCATTAAATGCTTTGGGTCGCTCATCATAAAGTTGTATCAATACATTCATCAAGCGAAGAAATTATTTCCGAGCCTTAGCATCCCCCGGGATATCCGAAAGTCCTTCCGTGGCCTGGCGACCAACCTTGCCTGTGGGCTGAGTTTCCTTGTGCAATTCCTCTCCTGACTTCCGTGCACTGCTTTCTGCAGTAGCGGGCCCCCTTAGAGCGGTGTTACTCTCGCCGGAGACGGATCCTTGTACGCCGCCGGAGCCGACGTTGACAGCTCTCTGGTCTGCAGACTGCCAGTCGCTGGCGACGGGAGGCTGGTCTGGCAAAGGCAGGTTGGCCTTGCGTTCTTCGATGGCCTTGGCCTTGTCTGTGTGCTCATCGACGATGGACTGATTCGTAGAGTTAGCAGCTGTGTCACCAAGTTGATTTGCCTCTGGGTCAGGAGGGTTGGTGTTACCTTCATAGCAGAGACATTAGAATTGGCAGGTGTGTTTCCACCGGCGGCATGAGAAGCGTGGGACTCGGGCTTGCGAAGGTCCTGTTGGGTCTTGTAGAAGGTTTCGCTAGACATCTTGTGGGGGAGTGTTGGGTGTATGGGATAGGAAAAATGACAGGTAGTAGTTTGACTTTGATGTGATGCGAAGAAAGCTCTCTCGAGTGTGTCTTTGGAAGTTTGAAGTTGATGAAGTTTCTAAATGTATGCAAGAGGAGATTCAACGTTGTTATATGTTGGAGCTATTGTGACTGGGGACCGTCATCGTCCTGACAAGGCTGGTGGTGACTTTTGCCATTATGACGACATACTATCCGCGCAGGCCTTGGTTTGCATGTTCAGCGCACCCAGACTTCCAACAACCCACCATTGGAGAGAGCTCTGCTGCCAAGGACAAGATGAGTGGCTACGGTGGGCTTCAGTGAATCATAGGCAGCCTTCATAGGGCCCGCTCAGAGTTGATTTCGGGTGTTGCGCCGGGGTACGTTCACTCTACTCCACATGTTCAATATCGCCTCATTTTTCCATGCCTGCAGCACCATTGAAGACCGAAGATGTCATAATACAGAGGTCGGTGGTCCCTGAGCTGAATTCGTTCTGTTTCTTTATCCTTCCTGCAACTTTTCTTGGCTCTTCAGTCGTGAATTAGTCGTCATAAAGATCTTCAAGAACCATTGGCTGGGGATCTCGTCCATGCTGCCCTGCGATACCCCCGGATAAATGGAATATCCAATAAATATTGCAGAAGTTTATTTCCGGGTGATTCCTTAGAGTAGCAGCTTCAATGTCAGGGCGGTGCATCAACCTGGCATTTCCGGACCAGGAACAATTCTCGTGATGCCAGCTTGAATGTACTGCAACACCAATGAGTGTATTTGAAAGGCAGAACACAACATGGTAACTAAGATAGTTCAACGCTGGGCCATACAATGTAAAATGGCAGTGTAGGCCTTTCTTCCTCATCCTACAATGGCTCTATGATGCTGAGCCTTTTACGAGAGGTACTGAGCACGCGATTGCAAGATATCACAATCTCGGGGGTTTTACACCGCCTGCCGGAGATAGACGGCAGAATCCAAAATGTCCCCGCTGGGTCAGATGCGAACTTTTTTGGTTTGTATGAGTTGGACGACTATAGACAGCGATTTTTGCTTTTGTCTTTTGCATATACCTAGAGCCACAGGTGAACTGACATTATGCCAAGAGATCCCTTAATCGGCCTGGTTGGAAAGGTTGGTTCCTGCTGTCATCTCATAAGATAATGCCGCTGATTGAGTTGAGGGGCATTTAGCCTTCCAGCGGGAAATCCACAACGCTGAACAGTCTGACAGATGCCAGTTCGAAAGTTGGTGAGTTGCTGATAACCTGACTATTACTTGTACACTATTGACCAGTACCTCCTTTTCGCAGGAAACTTCCCGTGAGTAACCCGAGACACCGTCTTCTGCCTTTTCTTCCTCCGTCGCCCGAAAGTTTCCATACGATAACCGCACACCATGCGCTTTCAGGACAATTCTGACTCTCGACGTACAGATTCACAACTATTGACCCTCAGCGCGCCATTGGGTATCTTCAAATAGAGTGTGCCTGCAAACGCTTCAACGTTTCAGACAAATGCAAGCCGAATTACGGTAGCTGCGTTGACGGCCGCCGTTCCGTCCCTATCGAGCTTTTAGATGTCGCGGGTCTCGTCCCTGGAGCACACCAGGGTCGCGGTCTAGGGAATAAGTTCTTGGACGACCTACGTCATGCGGATGCGTTGATTCATGTGGTGGATGTCAGTGGAACAACTGACGCAGAAGGTCGGCAATTAATTCTGCGTTTACCTCTTATCTCTCAATATCAGCTAAGATGAATTGCGTCCTAGGAAAGGCAACGCGCGGATATGATCCATCGGTAGACATCGAGTGGCTACGATCTGAGATTGTGCGATGGGTCTTGGGTAATCTGATGCAAAAATGGTACGATACAATCAAGAGTGACCCTGGCCCTTTTTGGTACTTCTGCCACGATGCTTACGGTCATACGCAGGGGCTCTATCAAGAGAAGACATGTTGCGACAAGTCAGTCAATGCGGCGTTCCCGCAAACCCATCGAGATGTATTGACTGTGAATGCAGAATCGACGGCAGTGGATACATTACAAGGCCAATTTTCCGGATACGGAAGCACATCGGCGACAGTTGCGCGCTGTCTGGATAGAATCGGTCTGAAAGAACCTCTCGAGGAATGGTCGGACGAGACGATTGAGCGGGTAGTCCAGGCGTTCATTGACGAAAAGTTTCCTACCGTTTTCGCACTGAACAAGATTGACCATCCTGACGCGGACAAGGTTGGTTCCTTCTTCTACTCCTGCAATTGTGCTGGAATTCGCGCTGAAAGAAATAACCTAGAATATTAGCAAGATCGCCAAGATGCAAGATCCAAAGTCAATAGTGCTATGCTCCGCGATATCAGAGGTGTTCCTTCGAAGATTGGCGAAACAGGGTTACATCAAGTATACAGAAGGCAGTGAGTTCTTGGATACACGAGAAGATCTCATAGAGATGGGCGATCCCGATGGTGGCGGTCTAAAAGAGATGGACGAGAAGTTGAAGAAGTAAGTATCTCCAGCTGGGACAAGAAAACCTGATTAACCTCGTCTAGCCGTGTTGAGAACTTGAAAGACATGGTTCTCTATCGCTTTGGTTCCACTGGAGTGGTGCAGTGCCTCTCGCGAGCAGCGGAACTCTTGGGACTTGTGCCGGTTTTTCCAGTCAAGAACGTGCACACATTTTCGTCTGGGGCCGGAAATGCGGTGTTCAGAGATTGTGTTTTGGTTAAAAAGTGGGTTTTCTTGCGATCGGGCACCAACGAAGTATATGACTAACGTCCAACAGAGGAAGCACGGTAGCAGACGTTGCCCACAAGGTTATGGGTGACGTTCCCATCTCTTACATTGAGGGTGTTGGCGGCACCCGGGTGTCTGAGGATGAAATAGTTGAAGTAGGGAAGCATGATGTGAGTTGCTCCTTGTAGTTGAGCTTTTTCTTCGCTTGCTAAGAAGATTTTTGCAGGTCCTCTCGTTCAAACCTGGCCGGTAGACCAGAAATATTATTCCATCTATGTACAGTCGATATAAGGCAATTTCTGTAAAGAGACAACCACATGCCATTAATAATACAACGACAAATCGAAGGCCACGAACTCATCCAAAACTAGTTGCCTCAAGTGGTCAATCGGGGCGATCAAGTACCCTTCTATAAACCATGAACACGTTAGCCAGGTGAAACATTACCGACGACAACAGTCTCCGGTGGGAAGGGACAGGTAGCACTCACCTCAGCTCTTTCATCATTCATACCGATTATCGGTTCAGGCGCCTTGGGGTGTTCCTTTTTAGCTTGACGCTCCTGCTTGAGACCTTCCCTCTCCGTCACCGCTCCCTGCTTGGATTGGTCTGCGACACCCGCGCTTTCTTTTTTCTCCTTCAGCCCAGAAGCGGAAGATTCTGTCTGAGGATCTGTTATATCCCTTTTGTCCTTCGATCTCTTCACCGCATGGTCGTCGGTTGAAGAACCCTTCCATTCTTGGCCTAGAGAGCTGTTGAAGCGGGCTCTCACATTGCCAGGTGTGGGAAGCCTGGCAGGTTGCCAGACAGATTGAAGCGGAAGAAGAGTCACGCGTGGAGGGCGCGGAATGAGCATGCTTTGGAGCTTTGAAGTTGTAGTCGGGAGGCGAGGGCTGCTAGGCATGTTGGTCTGCGGTCGTGAGCGTTAGTTGTTCAGTGGTAAATTAGTGCTTCTTAAGTCGTAGACATTCGGTACTAGTACCACTCGAGCGGTACAATGCTTCGTTTAAGTAGGGTTCTCTCAGGGCGTCAACTTCCTTCGAGCCGCGGAAGGCCGCAGTCAAAGCAAGGCCTATATTGAGTGACGAGATGTCCTATGACGTCTAAATGCTGCAATGGTATGGACCAATCAAGATTGTAGGGCTTAGGGTTAAGCTTCCCCGTCTTATCGATAAGGAGATGGGAGAGTGGGGGAGCTCCCAGCCCCCGGAGCATGACAATTTGGTTTCCCTGTACCTCTTTAATTGCGACAGCTCTGTCTGACAGTCGAGATTGTCCCAGCGACGGAACAATATGCGACGCAACTATTTACCTATTGAGGCTATGTCTTCCTGGGCAAAGCTCAATGGCATTTCCCTCGAGGGAATCGCTTTCCAGAAGCTCCATGGCGAAGAGGGGACAGACAAGGGCTCCGCCATCGTAGCGACAGCGGAAAAAATCGACAAAGAAGCTGAAGCAGACACCCTTCTCACGGTTCCATCTGAACTGGCACTGACTTTCGAGTACGTCCACAACCATGCAAAAATAGATCGCCATCTTCGGGATGTCCTAGATGCCGTCGGCGACTTTGGCAGGGTATGTTATAGGTCACGATCACTACAGATCGGGTTTTCGTCACTTGTCGCATAAGAGCTCGAGCTAATATATACAGACAGCTAGAGGCGCGGTTTTGATATTTTTAGTTGTCCAAATCACGCATGCAAGCCCGGACTTCGCCAACCAACGCCAAAAGATCGGCGTCTCGAACCCTTGGACTGAGTACATCAGGTTTATGCCGGCCTCTATACCTCTACCGACATTTTACTCAGCAGAAGAGCGCGAGCTCTTGGGCGGGACATCGTTGCAGACTGCAGTCGACGCGAAACTCGGTTCTCTTGAAAAAGAATTCGAGCACATCCGCCAAGCTACGGAGGACATACCCTGGTGTCAGGAGCATTGGTGGGATGAGGACACAGGGAAATTCACATTCGACGACTGGAAGTATGTCGACGCTGTGTATCGGTCGCGAGTGGTTGATCTTCCCCGGAGTGGACATGCGATTGTGCCATGTGTAGATATGGCAAACCATGCCTGTGAGGATTCGGTGAAAGCCAGGTACGATGAGGATGGAGCCGGAAACGCTGTACTCCAGCTTCGAACTGGGAAGAAGCTACGCATGGGCGATGAAGTTACCATATCGTAAGTCACGAAGATGACCGTGTTAAGTAGATGTATGTTGATCCGGTGGCATGATAGGTACGGTGACGAGAAGCCAGCTTCAGAGATGGTATTCTCCTACGGTTTCGTTGAAAACGAACGGACAGACGCGAAGCAGATCTTCCTCGACCTGGAAATTCCCGAAGATGATCCCTTGAAAATGGCCAAGGCAGTATTCTGCAAGGAGGTCCCTGGGGTACGGATCACCAGCGCTACTACAGGTTCAGAGGCGGGCAAAACTACGTGGGATAGCCCCTTTGTATGGTGGGCTTGTGTAAATGAGGAAGACGGCCTGAATTTCGACGTGCAGCAAACCACCGATGGGGGAAAAGAACTAAGAGCTACCTGGAAAGGAGAGGACATGGGAACGCCCAGCCGCCTCAAGGATTTACTAGCCGCGGACCCTTTATGGGCTATTTTCCAATTGCGTGCGGTTGTGCTTATACTCGAGCGACTTGAAACTCAGCTGGTGATTCTGCGGGAAACCGAAAAGCTAGTTGCTGAAATCAGCAATGACGAGGACATGCGTGCGCTCTTTCGACCTGATGTTTTGAATACGATATCTAGACTGCGGCGGCTAGAGGCTGAATTGTTGGAGTCGAGTATCGAGGATCTCATGAGTAGCGTAAGAGTTGATCCTCTGCCCGTTGACGTTTGCGAGCGCACTAACCAATATTTCATCATGCAGCGACAGAAACTGATAACATCTGAGACGGTCACTGCGTACATCAACCAACAGTCCGATGACGTAGAAGAGGATTTTTCATAATGAACTCCGATTGAGTTTGGAACATTGACACAGCCCAACTACGTGAAAGTATACGAGTCCAACCGTCCAGGTGTATGTCCATTGATCGCTATATGATTCATTAGCTGTACCAGAAGTCCAGCTCACCTAAGTAATAGTAATAGTAATAATTTTAAATAATCTCTCGACTTTTCTTCGAATCCCGAGTCGGACTGCCCCCAACGAAAGACTCTTGATACACAGTCAATTACGGAAGAGCCACGAAGCAGGCACTTACCCGATTTCTTCCTACCATTTATTGAGCCATTCATTGGTGGAGTACAAGTCACGACTCTGGGGTAGAAGAACGGGGAAAGACCGGGACACTGGGGGAGGAAGCTTCGGAAACTTGGGGATCTGCACCACAATTTCGGGCTCCTGGGGAATGTCCTGGTTCTGTTAGATTCTGGTCCGATGTCGACATTCGGAATAGGCAGGAGTCTTGGTGGCTTGGGACACGAGTCACGAAACTCTGTTTGGTCGTTTCATCCAAATAAGGTATGAGCCGGCCACTGGGCATACCAGTGGATGACGTTGTATATACACTAGGGGACCTGGGCTCTTGCCATGCGCACGCTAAGAGAGGCTGGAACGGACGCCGAGCCTATGAAGTATGATTATGGCCTGATGTAATCATGTACTCCATGCGTTTCCAGAAAATTGACTAGAAGGACTGGGGTCATCGGGGTAGAAATGAGCTTTCGCCAGCCACGAGGGAATCGTGCCATACTGCGGTAGTCTATCCGATAACGGCAGATTCAGAAATGGGTAGGCTACATGCCTAGCCGCCTAGCGTCATGATATTTCTATTGTTGCTCGGCTAGTATCTATGATGAGCTGCCGCGATACTCGAAGTGTGCACTTGCACCACGTACTAGACTGGATAATGGGCACGCCTGCGGAGTTTAGCAACTTCAGAACACTACACAGTAGAGACCTTCAAACGTGGGCCACCTCCTTCTGGTAGTCATCTCCACAGAGCTCAATATCTTGATCAAATTAGTTTTCTCCATTTCATGGTTGGGTGGAGCCGGATCAAGGCGGATCCAAATGTTGAGCGTCTCGCCTCCACCTTCGTGGTTTGCTCGGTCAACACTCGGGATTCAAAATTTAGACGACTCCTTAGGGAGAGACAAGATTACTTTCATGTTCATGGTTATGTAAAGTGAAAAAAAAACCAAATTTGAAAGACCTCTGGCCACTGCATAATCGTCTGACTGAACTTTGAGTGTTGGCACGATGTCTTCTAATCTTATTGGATTTTAGGACAGCAATGGGCAATCTCGTATTGGCATTCGATGGTATCCACGGGGATCCCCCGCGATTTTCTCCAGCTGCGAACAGACGGGGCTCGAAAGTGGCAAGCTAACTTTAACAGTAAAATGGTTCCCTCTCAGCAAAATACGGTAGTCAGTCAAATGCCGGCCAGGACTCGGGGCGATCCATTTTAATGTTCTTGTATCCGTACCTGCTGCTCGTATTATTGGAGGAAGTCTTTGTGCGCAAATCAATGATTATCTGGCGAGGAATTCTCGTGAATACTTCGGGTTGTAAGAGTTCTAGGGAATAATTCGGCGGGATCAGCCGTAGATAATCTTCTCATAGCCGCGCAGACACACTTGTGGGTGGTGAAGGGCTTACTCGCTCATGAACATCCTCGTGTCAAGCCTCCAGTTTTTGAGTTCGAGACTCGCTAATCAATAAAAGCATTGCAAGGCCAGGATTGCGGAGAGCTATTCCAGGAAATGGGCTGAATCTTTGTGGTCGTTTCTTGTCTATGTGACATGTCAAGGGGCGGCTGATGTTCTACTTAATAGAGCAAGAAAAAGAGCCATTGGAGGGATAATAGACGATCATCCGTATTTGTATTTGCGCATCGGTCCATTCTTGCCTAAAGGGAGACTACTGCTGGAACTATGAGTTTTAGCGGCTTTGCAATACTCATAGCCTCACTGATTCAAGGCATACCTTGAAAGATGAGGCTTCGCATCATAAGCATAATCTCTGATGAGAAATGCAAAGGGGACTGATACGGAGTACTTCTAGAGTCTTTCCCCCAGATTTGCCTCCACAAAACTGTGGTTCTCTGTTTCCACGATGGAAAAATGATCGCAGCATGACGGTGAACCAGATCTATATCCGAGCAAAGACAATGAAATGCCGACAGCCAAGATACTCTTCAAAGTCAGCAATTAATCTCCAGTTCTCAACGATCGTTCTGGATAGAACCACATCGAGCAGGCGTATGCGTAATACAGTATTGACTAACCCGCGGTTGCATCTTCGGTGTCCGCTGAGCAAGTGAAATGCAGTAAAACATCCATTACTATTGGCTATGTGGGCTAAAGCGCAACTCCACATGGCTGCGTCCCCTCAGGTCCCCTGACACGCTCCAGGAAATGCGTGATGCCACTTTCACGTTCTGCTGTAATTCTTCCTCACAATAATACGGGAGTACCTCTTATTACTACTCGGTCCATTCGGTAGTCAAAAGTTGTTACTTTTCCCACTTTATCCCCAAACAGGCTCGATCCCCCGTTTGTCTTGCGTCTCCTCTCCTCGCCTCTTGTCTTCGTCTTACTACCGCCACTGCTCCTCTTTCTCTTTGACATATATCGTTACTTCTCAGACATCTACGCAGACATTCAAATCTCCACTCTTCTAACATCTCGAATGCGAGACAGTTATCACGCCTCCGGTATCTGGATCGTCGCCTAACCTCACAGAGTACTATACATAGATATCATCCGGGCCCTGCACTTGTTTGGCGTGAACCACCACTTCGAGGACAATCATCATTATCGGCGGCAGATGCGTTAAGAGCATCCAGCCAAAATGCCTGGAATTCTCCCTATGAAAGTGATCAAGGTCGGCAACGGCTCGCAAAGTCGTATAGCCCAAGCCTGCGATCGGTGCAGAAGCAAAAAGATTCGCTGCGATGGAATTCGACCATGTTGTACACAGTGCGCAAATGTCGGTTTCGAGTGCAAGACAAGCGACAAGCTTAGCCGTCGAGCGTTTCCTCGAGGATACACGGAATCATTGGAGGAACGAGTGCGGACTTTGGAGGCGGAAGTGAGAGATTTGAAGAATCTATTGGACGAAAAGGACGAGAAGATCGATGTGCTATCGCGTATACACTCTTTTTCGCCCGCTTCGCAACAAAGAGTTCAGGCTGCGTCTCAATCACCCTCCTCTACTGAATCTGCTCGCCCCAAGCTGTCCGAGGCTGCCGAAGAAGCCATTCAGATCCCGGAAGTACCATCTTCAACTGAGTCACTTGATAGTCTGTGTGTCGGGCTTTCGAGTGCTCGCGGATTTTTAGGTATGATCATTACTGCGGGTATGGTACCAGAATGCCCTGCTAACTTTGTCTAGATGTTTTCGCAAAAGAACTCAAAGAGCAGGGACGGCCTCTTTCTGGCATTTCCACTCAGGCTTTGACAGCCTCGCCTCCGGCCATCTCCCATGCTCGCATTGATCAAGCCATTAAAACAGCCCCACGACTTGTCTCTGACCAGCTCATCAACATCTTCTTCCAAGAATGGGCGCCTCTCTACCCCGTCGTCCATCGGCCGACCATACTCAAAGCTTATGAAAAGTATCTATCGAACACAGAGTCTCTGCAGGGCAGTACACATGACATGGTGCAACTAAACCTGATTTTCGGGATTGCTGCTCTTGCTTCTACTGTAAGTACTTGTGTTTGGGATTGCATTTGGAGACAGACTTGGGGGTCTAACAGGAGGTTTAGTCACGAACTAACCAGGACCCCACCTTCTTCGAAGACAACTGGTCATCAACCCTCGAGTCTCTGTCAAACAATATTTCTATCTCGACATTGCAGTGCTACGTCCTTGCTCAGATGTATTGTATGACCAAGGGGGACTACACAGGACTTCTCCGCTATCGCGGCCTCGCCGTTGGCCTTTGTCATCAACTAAGGCTCCACCAGAGCCAGAAGCGATTTTCTTCCAACCCGCTCGTTGCTGAGACTCGTAAGAAGGTGTTTTGGTGTCAATACGTCCTTGACCGGTTAGTTCCCCATCTTCCTTCGATCGTCTGAGAACTTTAAGGGATCTTTTACTCACATGGCCACAGCCTTACAGCTGCTTTGACCGGACTGCCAGTCCTCCTACGTGAAGAGGATGTCCGTACTGAATACCCCGAGGACGTTGATGATGAGAATGTCACGGAGACCGACTTCTTGCCGACTTTGCCGGGGGAGTCGACTCGCATTTCGAGCGCCCTTGCACTATTCGGAGCATCTCGAGTTCTGAACAAGGCTCTGGAGTATATTTTCCCTTCGGACGGTGGTTATGAGGTATTGGTGTCGAAGATGCGCTCGGTTGCCGAGCAACTGGACGCATGGGTAAAGACACTGCCTGCTCACCTCCGTCTCGAATTCTCCCAGGACAAACCAAGTACAAACATCACAAGCAGCCGATCACCCCTCCTGGTAGGTTTTTTGGGCCGTCGCTCCCAATGACTGTGCAGTAAGCTAACATCCGTTTTACTTAGTCTCTGGTTTATTATTATATCCGTTCTCTCATTCATCGCCCCGCTGTCTGCTTTGGCGAAGAGCATATTCGGTCTCCGTCAATTCTGGCTACTTTTGACTCGTGCAAGCATATTATTCAGATTCTCCAGCTGCTTGACGAAAGGCGTCTTTGTCTCTCGATCAGTGTTAACCGGAAAGAGCTGGTGTTCACGTCTGGTTTGGGGCTTCTGTGGCAAAACACGGGGCTCAAACGCGAGGGCAAGCTCCTCAAGGAGTGCCAGAAGTTGCTTACCGCGGTTATTGATCAACTCGAACCCGAGTCGGCTCGAGCAGCAGCAGAGTTCAGCTCGGTAGCCAGCCTGTTGGTTTCCTTCGACAGTGACAAACGCGGGACCTCCGTCAAGAACCAGTCCATGTCCCCACCTGCACAGAAGCCGCTTAAGTCACCCAAGAAGCAGCTGCATTCTGTGAAATCACGGTCGGCTAGCGATGAGGTGCCAAATCAGCCCACCGAATCGCTATCGCGCAGAGCGACCATTCCGGGTACAAGTCTTGGTGCCCCTCACCGTCATCTTCGATCTCCCAGTCGGGCTAGCTTGCCATCTGAGAATTATCCCGCTCCACAACAGTCCATGAACAGGGCTTACTACACGTCGCCGTCTATGACACATGAGCACACACAGACCATGTCGAGCTCGGCTCCCTCGAATGCCGCCGCGGGTCCGATGAGTATGGCTGACTGGGAGTTTGTTCTGAGTGACATGGATCACGGCTATTCGAACATATTTACCGGCATCTACGGGGGCAAAGAATGTGGTGAGGACAGTGGTCCATTTGCTTCTTTGACTGCGGGCTACGTTCCAGCGGATCAAAGTCCCATGCCGCAGTCTGCGTCAACCAAGGATGTCCCGGGTCTGTCACCTGAAGCGTGGTCGGCGAGCAGCAACAGCGACATGTTGCCGAACCATGAGGTCAACCCTGCGCCGCAGAGCGTCCTCAGTTTCTCCGACGAGAGCATGAGTGCCGAGGATAGGTTGCCATACCATGATTTGCAACTGCCTCTGGACGATTTGGACCCATTCCGGGGCATCATGATCCCGGCAATGGACGACGAGATTGATGAATTTGGAATGACTCACGGTTGGGACCGACGGCTGGCCGTCTGAGACTTGTTATGCTTTTGACATGAAGGATTTTATATGAATTGGGCGCGATCCAGGAGGCGATTTTTTTCTCTGTCTTTATTTTCGCCGTGATACCTATTGTCTCTGGAGTCTTGTGGTTTGTGAGTGTCTTGAGCAGACACCTTTCTCGTCAATCTACTTTAAAACTGCTTGGTGTAATGGTCATATTTTATCTCTTATATATATATATATATATGTCATTTATATTGGCCCTTCCTCAAATCAATGATGCTGTATATGCATACTGCGCCTTTTCATCATCATATTCATCACATGCTTCATCCCACAAGTCATGCATATTTGGAGGAATGCTCGCAAGCATGGCAGCGCCCTGAGGCACCGGATTGGTCGAATCTGGCAAGCCCGTCTACTACCTAGGTACTTGCAGACGAATAGGTACCTTAGGCGCCTGAAGGTTTTGGGAACCGTGATAGGTTGGCCTTGTAGATCAACTGCGTCTGTCTATTGTTTATTTCTAGGTGCTGAATTGTTGTCTCATGGTGTATGTGTAGACGAACATGTGGTGGCTAATTCTTGACAACTGGCAAAGCTATGATAGTCGCATTTGAAACTGAACAGTAGATAGTTGATATCTAGTAGAGAGGGGTAATTATCTGATAATGGCATGCAAAATGCTTACAAAAATTCGAAAATTTTTCCTAATCAGCAGACCAGCAGTATCATCTATCTATTTACCCGTGGCATCTCTCTGGTCTTGAATTCATGGAAAAATTATGGAGTACTGCGTAGAATAAATCGGAGTAGCGTCCTCCGGACCCAGCATTGTTCTGGAGCTCTGGACGGTGTCGGTTATTAATGATAAGGAACTACGGAATATTGTCAAGACATAGACTCGTGCTCCCCCGGAGGACTGTGTAGCGTTGCTATGTCGGTATTGCTTTTGCTGAGTGAGTTTGAGGATATCACTTTGCATGGAGGGGCAAGTATTGGCAGATATCCCTGGTCATGGAGAAGGGGTTCATAGGTGCACTGGAAGAATTGGCCGATGATCGGCGTCGGCTAATGTCATCAGTACTCCCCTATGCGTTGGAGGGGTCTTGACGGTTGACTCTCTTTGAGACTGAGTAGTCGACGGCAATTGACGACCTGAAGATCCCTTCATGGAGACCTAAGGTTCTAGATTGATAAGGATTATCTAACAGGTGGTAAATTTCTGCTATTATGCTAAATGCTTATTCTACATGGCAAAACTGGCAAAACTCCGCGGAAGAGGATGCCTGAGGTATAGACGGCGATAGCTGGAGTGGGGGCACTGCTACACAGCTACGCAGTCAGCACAAGGGTTCCGATACAGAAGGATTGAAGCTGTGTTCTATCCATTTCGTAGCAATTGGCGGAAAAGCGAGTCCAACGCACCAATTGACTTATGATGCATCAGAGGCGACTCTTATAGCAAATCTTGGATGTCGGAAACCCAAATGCTACGGGATCCTGACCATCCCAACAACGTCAATCGAGCATTCGGTGAGTTGCTGCCCCACCGCCGACATCATTTCCCTTACCATCCCCCCACCTTGTCTTGTCTCGTCCCCCCTCCAACCTGGCTGTCCGTTAACTCGTAGTAAGCATTCGCCATAGCTCTCTACTCTACTCCCCTCTTGCAACCTTTTTCTTGCTCCTTCTCTTACTCTCTCGCTTTCTCCTGAAACCCTTCTCAAAAAAGATTTCCAGAAGAAAGTTTGTTTAATAAGTACTATCTCCTGCCCTTCCTCCCCGTCTCCCCTCCCGTCATTTACATCATCTAACCTTCCAGCAAAAAAAAAGTTAGCAATCATGGGTTACACCGATTTGGATCAATTGGCTATCAACACGATCCGTATTCTTGCGGTATGCTCTATCTGGTCCCCTTTTCATAGCCCGTACCTCCATAATACGCGAGTCAATGGTGGTGGTGATGATTGAGATGCTGCTGTCTCCAACTTTTAATGACAGCTGGCCGCGGAACACCCCGCTCAGTGTCGAGGGCAAGCTCGGATGATGGCTGTTTTTTCCTCCATCGAAAAGCCGCATCTCAGCTTCATCTCCATGGCATGGAAAGCAATCTGTTGAAGCGATATGCTAATCAATAACTTAGGTCGATGCCACCTTCAAGGCCAACTCCGGTCACCCCGGTGCCCCTATGGGCATGGCCCCTGTGGCCCACGTCCTCTTCAACAAGTTCATGAACTTCAACCCCAAGAACCCCAACTGGCTGAACCGGGATCGTTTCGTTCTCTCGTAAGCTTCCTCGGCCTAGAATGATGGGAGAATTTAATTGCTAATGCTCTTCACCAGCAACGGCCACGGTTGCATGCTCCAATACGCTCTCCTCCACCTCTTCGGTTACAATGTCACCATGGACGACCTGAAGAACTTCAGAGTATGATTTTTCCGTGGGTATCGAACAAGAAATGAGCTTTTGCTAATCCTGCGTAGCAAGTTGATAGCATCACTCCCGGTCACCCCGAGGCTCACGACACCCCGGGTGTTGAGGTCACCACTGGTCCTCTGGGTCAGGGTTTCGCCAACGCTGTTGGTCTGGCAATTGCCCAGGCTCACACCGCCGCCGTCTTCAACAAGCCTGGCTATGACCTGGTCAACAACTACACATACTGCTTCTTCGGTGATGGCTGTGCTATGGAGGGTATTGCCAGTGAGGCTGCCTCCATGGCTGGTCACTTGAAGCTCGGCAACCTGATTGCCATTTATGACGACAACCACATTTCCATCGGTAAGTCTTTACGAAAAGTAACATTGTTGACTCAATTACTGATTGGGGTATTTTCATCTAGACGGTGACACCAAGTGTGCTTTCACCGAAGATGTTATGAAGCGTTTCGAGGCCTACGGCTGGCACACCGTGTGGGTCAAGGATGGTGACAACGACCTCGAGGCCATCGAGGCCGCCATCCACGAGGCTAAGAAGGTCACCGACAAGCCCACCGTCATCCGTCTGACGACTACCATTGGTTTCGGCTCCAAGCTCCAGGGTACCGGTGGTGTTCACGGTAACCCTCTGAAGGCCGATGACTGCGAGAGCGTCAAGCAGAAGTTCGGCTTTGACCCCAAGCAGAGCTTCGTCGTTCCCCAGCAGGTATACGACCTCTACCACAAGCACGCCGCCGAGGGTGCTGCCAAGGAGCAGGCCTGGAACCAGCTCCTCGAGAAGTACGCCACCGAGTACAAGGCCGAGCACGCCGACCTTGTCCGCCGTCTCTCCGGCAAGCTTCCCGAGGGCTGGGAGAAGAGCCTTCCCACTTACAAGCCCAGCGACGCTGCCGTCGCCTCTCGTAAGCTGTCTGAGGCTGTCCTCGAGAAGATTCACGATGTTATCCCTGAGCTCTTGTCCGGTTCCGCTGATTTGACCGGCTCCAACAACACCCGCTGGAAGAAAGCCGTCGACTTCCAGCCCCCCGTCTACGGCATTGGCGAGTGGTCCGGTCGCTACATCCGCTACGGTGTGCGTGAGCACGCCATGGCTGCCGTTATGAACGGTCTTGCTGCCTACGGCACCATCATCCCCGCCGGTGGTACTTTCCTAAACTTCGTCTCCTATGCCGCCGGTGCTCTTCGTCTGTCCGCCCTCTCCCGCGTCCGCGTCATCCACATCGCTACCCACGACTCCATCGGTCTGGGTGAGGACGGTCCTACCCACCAGCCTATCGAAACTCTGGCCCACTTCCGTGCCCTCCCTAACTGCATGGTTTGGCGTCCCGCCGACGGCAACGAGACCAGCGCTGCCTACTACTCCGCCATCACCGCCAAGCACACTCCTAGCGTCCTCGCCCTCACTCGTCAGAACCTGCCCCAGCTCGAGAACTCGACCATTGAGGCTGCTCTGAAGGGTGCCTACCCCGTCGTCGAGGCCCCCAACGCCGCCATCACCCTCATATCCACTGGTTCCGAGGTCAGCATCTGTATCGAAGCCGCCACCTACCTCAAGGAGAAGCACAACATCGTCGCTCGTGTTGTCTCCGTCCCTTGCTTCGAGGTCTTCGATGCTCAGTCCAAGGACTACAGACTCAAGGTCCTTCCCGACGGCATCCCCGTCATGTCCGTTGAGGCTCTGTCCACCATGGGTTGGGAGCGCTACTCTCACGAGCAGTTCGGTCTCAACCGCTTCGGTGCCTCCGGCCCCTACAAGGAGGTCTACAAGGTAAGACTCCACTATAAATTAAACACCTGATAAAAGGAAAGTCAGTACTAAATTGTTTTCCTTTCTTTAGAAATTCGAGTTCACTCCTGAGGGCATTAGCAAGCGTGCTCTTGCTACCATCGACTTCTACAAGGGCCAGCCCGTGCGCTCGCCCATCAACCGTGCCTTTGAGCAGATTCTGTAGAAGTCTTGCGTTAGCGTCATGATGGATTTCCTTTCTTAGTGTCATGTTTACGGCTCGACGAATCTCTTGTTACTTTTAAATGTTCTTATTGGTCCTATCTCCCCATGGTTGTTGGTGAAACTCTTCTAGATCTAGAGGATCAAAATAAAATTATGCCATAATATCGTCGTCGTTCATCGCGCTCATGAGTAGTCGTCAGTACGATCCACCCTTAAAAAGAATATACAACAGGTCCAAAAACTCGATAGCGTAAAGAACATCATTTTCATTGAGTAATTACATTTACATGCTAACCGTAATTTTGATTCACGCATCCAGAGCCTTGCGGGCAAAGTTGGGCAGAACGAAGCTGGCCCGGTGAATGTCCTGGTTGTAGTAGCGGCAGAGACGCTCCTCCTCCTCGCGGGACCAGGTGCGCACGGGCTCGCGGACGTTGCGGTTGGCGTCCTTGCAGCAGACCATGAAGCCGATCTGGCCGGAGGGGTAGGTGGGGATTGTGGTGTAGGCGTATTCGGCGACGGGGAAGACCTCCTTGCAGGCCTTCTTGAGGTCGGTGATGAGAGACAGATGCAGCCATTGGTTCTCGGCTGTGCGGTGTAAAACACGAACCCAAACCGATCCCGGGGTGGGAGTCGGGTGGTTTGGGACGTTGACAAGTCAGCTTCGTTTTCTTGTTTTTCAATAGAAACAGATACAGATATAGATAAAAAGACAAAGAACAAAATATAAATGTGGGGGTTGAATCGGGGAGTGAAAAAGGAGAGGAGAGAAGAGAAGAGGAGATGACAGGAGAGGGAAAAGAAATATGAGGGCAGATGAGAGAAAGGAAAGGCGACGAACAACCTTGTGTGGTGATGACACCTCCGTCACGGAGAGCATCGCGCAGGAGCTCAAAGTAGGGCTTCTGGAAGAGGCTCTCGGCGGGACCCTCAGGGTCAGAGCTGTCGGTGATGATGACGTCGAACTCGTTCTTGCGCTCCTTGAGGAACTGGAAGCCGTCGCCAATGTGGACCTTGACATTGGGGTGCTGGAAGCCGATGCTCATGCCGGGAAGGTACTTCTTGGAGACACGGATGACAGCCTTGACAAGTCAGCGATCGACATCATTCGGAAGTATTGTAGACCGAATATACTTCGTCAATGTCGCACAGGATGGCCTCCTCGACGGACTCGTGCTTGACAACCTCACGGAGGACACCACCATCTCCACCACCGATGACCAGAACCTTCTTGGGGTTGGGGTGGGAGTTCATGGCCAGGTGAGTGATCATCTCCTGGTACCTGCAGCGACACAAAGAGAACTTGATTAGAAGCTGCCGAGAGAACAATGTCCGGTGAGCGGGAAAACATACGAGAACTCGTCCCGCTCGGTGCACTGGATGACATTGTCAAGAACGAGAACGGTGCCGTAGTCGGTGCTCTCGAAGACAAGGACATCCTGGTAATCAGACTTCTCGTGGTGCAGGATCTGGTTGACCTTGAGGTTCATGGCCTGACCGGGCCACATATCCGACTGCTCGGAGAACCAGCCATCTGAGGTGTTGTCAGCGGAATTGATTCGAAACAACACACGAAACAAGCGATTCAGTAAAGCAATTGACGTCGAATCAAAGTAGGCTGGGGGTATATTGAGGTTGGAGAGAATTATTGGCGATGTGGTGGAAGCGGGGTAGTTGGAAAAAGTGATGGAGGGGCTGATGCGATGCACCGATAAAGATCGATACACGATAAGTGAAGAAAAAGTAACATACCCTTGATAGTGGGGTGAGTGATCTCGGACATGGTGATGGAGTGGAAGCGACGTCGACAAGGAGGATGAAGACGAAGTACAGAGGATGGAGAGGGAGAAGCAAGACGCAGGCGTAGAGAAGAGGAAAGAAATGAAGTCTTTGGAGCGGAAGAAAAGCAAAAGAAGCGCATGCGGGAGTGGGGGGTGGAAGGATGGCCTGGGTGCCTGACTGCCTGATGGACCTTAAGATGTGGCAGTTTTTTCCCTCCTTCGTCTACACTGCTACTTTTCTGCCTTGCCCTCTTTTATCGTTGAGAATTCTCTTTCGATGGGCCGAGAGAGATTTCTTGGGCACAGTGGGGCCCCTCTACTTACGTATTAGTACTCCAATTGCGGATACTCCAAAGCACCTACACAGTCTGCCCGAATGTATATTACCCTATCTGATCAGGTTTCTCTTCTCTATAGCTAATTCTGTCCCCTTCCTTGCTCACATCGACGGCTATGACACGGTCACCTTTGCTTGCATATACAATGGCATCCCCATAGTGCGATAAACAGCACCCGTCCTGGTCGAAAATAAAACCTCAATGGCCTGGAGATAGTCGTTTCATCGACCAAGGATAGGGCAATTCGTCCGTGAATTATGTCTTGGCCCTAGAAACACGCACCTTCAATTGCAAACTGGCGCTCCATGAATTTGATATGTCTGTTGGCTGCAACTACTGAAAGTGTAGTATCCAATCAACATCTAGTTGGACCTGCGTCCATCCACGAGCAGCATGAACCCTGTACACGATCTGTTACATCCCCCTTCATCGGGGCATGCACAAGTGCAATACAGTCCAAAAGATCTTTCGGATGTGATTCCCATCCGTCCAGTCTGAGGCCGCTCGACCAATATGTAGATGACCGTACTTGCCGCTGTTTGGCGGCATCTGTATGAGACCGACAATTCCTGAGGAGAGATGCAGGTGTTTGTCCGGACTATCCGGCCCCGTGGGTGCAGTTGTCATGGGATTATACACCGGCAAGGAGGTTCCTTTGGCGTCAGCCAGAGCCGATCCGGCTTGCTCCAACCCAGCCGCTGAACCAAACATGACTGAAACTGTACCGCTGCGCAATCATATGTCTACCGAGCGGCCTAACTGGAGTTCGTAGAGTCTTCGAAGTTGCAGTTAAATGCACCCGCTACATAGCGCAGGGTCGAATGCAGCCTGAGAAATCAGGCGACAGAGAACAATTTAATTGAACCAATGAGAGTTGTTCTAAAGTCATACTACCGTAGGTATTGGCTACAGAGGTCACCAAGTCTACCTAGGTATTATATCTCGATCTCTTACATACTTTCGTTCTGTATATCGAGCATTGAACAATATACTAGTATTCTGTTAAAATGTTTTAGTGCTAATTGCGATGCTTCCATGGCGGCGATAGGCGGATACGCCGATTTTTGAAAGCCAACAACCAGATGCAACAATTACCAAAGGCAGTCTAGACAGACAAGAACAATTGATTGCTTTCTAGTTACTGTACACTGCAATCACACAGTACCCTCCTCCTAACTTCACGGCCTTAAGTCAGATCCCACTTTTCATTTTGAAGGTAAAGGAAAGGCATCCATTTATTCCTCAACACCCTCAGCCAGGCGGCCGGGCTTGGAGTTAAGGTACTCGTTTCTATACAAACGCGACGATCAGTAACTGGTTTGAAGCCAAAAGCGCAAAGTGAGATGCAAGGCAAGAGGGCGCATACCTCTCAATAGCCCAGTTCATGGCGGCGTAGGCGACCACGAAAGGAGGAACGACGTAGAGAACCTGGCCTCTGAATCTACGGAACGTGTTGAAGATGGCAGCGTGGAAAGCACCAGCAAGAGGGCGCTGACGGTTGGAAGACAGAGAGTAGGTAGCAATGCGCTGGGGAGTCGGGCAGCCTAGGGAGCAAGAAACGGAGTATTAGCACAAGTTGGGATATCGCATGTCGCATTCTGCGGTAATCGAGTTTGCTTGGAGCGGTTTTAGGGTTCGAAGCGTCTTTGAATCCAAATGCCGGTCGTGATGCGGTCAAATGTTCACGGGTTGAGGTCGGGGTCCATAAACCTACCGAATTCACCCCAGTCGCCCAAAAAGCTGCATTAGAAATATTGTCAGCACATCCAGTCAACCAAGCTCCTGTCAATGGCTATTTAGGACGGAAAAAAGAGTCGACAGCCGCCTTCCTCTTCTGATGAAGGAATACAACCGCCCACGGCTCGTAGGGATATGGAGGCCGCTTGAGACCGCAATTCGAGGGAACTCACACTCCGCTCTTAGGATCAAGATGACCACCCATCGTGAATATCGCCGGAAGAACCGAAAAATGCAGAGAAAACAAGCGTGGATGTGCAGCACACGTCGAGAGCAGCGGCAGAGAGAGAGACGAGGTCGACTCGGGCCAAAACGGCGAAGTTGGGAGGTTTGGCCCTGCATCCGGCGCTAGTCCCGATTGGGTCAGCATGCGAAAAGCCCGACATCATCAAATGAGAGACCGCAGTACACGACCACCTTCTATTAGTGTTGACGACTCCGCTCCCATCACATTCCATCTCATCCATCATGGCGGCTAACGGTCTGTACAATCTTTACCGGCTCGCCATCCCCGTGGCGACGGGTGCGATGATCTTCAACGCCTCCATCTACGACGTCCGCGGTGGAACACGGGCGGTCATCTTCGACCGATTGAGCGGTGTCCAGGAGAAGGTCGTCAACGAGGGCACACATTTCCTGATCCCTTGGCTGCAGAAGGCGATTGTCTATGATGTTCGAACCAAGCCTCGCAACATCTCTACTACAACAGGAAGTAAGGACTTGCAGATGGTGAGCTTGACTCTGCGAGTCCTGCATCGCCCTGATGTCCCGAAGCTCCCGGTCATCTACCAGGTGAGTCCACATTGCTCCAAGCCTTGATTCGAGGCACTCTCTGACATGTAGGATAGACCTACGGTACCGATTACGACGAGCGTGTCCTCCCCTCCATCGGAAACGAAGTCCTCAAAGCCATCGTGGCCCAGTTCGACGCCGCAGAGCTCATCACACAACGAGAGGCCGTCTCGAACCGTATCCGCACCGACTTGTTGAAGCGTGCCGCACAGTTCAACATCGCCCTGGAAGATGTCTCTATTACGCACATGACCTTCGGAAAGGAGTTCACACGGGCCGTCGAGCAGAAGCAAATCGCACAGCAGGACGCGGAGCGTGCCCGGTTCATCGTCGAGAGAGCCGAGCAGGAGCGTCAGGCGAACGTTATCCGTGCAGAAGGTGAAGCCGAGAGTGCCGAGATCATCAGCAAGGCCGTCGCCAAGGCCGGAAGTGGTCTTATTGAGATTCGTCGGATCGATGCCACAAAGGAGATTGCTCAGACGCTGGCGAGTAATCCCAACGTTACGTACCTGCCTGGCAATGAAGGCAAGGACGGTGGAAAGAGCACAAGTCTCCTGTTGGGTCTGAGGAATTAAGGGACGTAGGGATGAAGAAATCTGGTTGCTTGAAGAAAACAGGGCACGAGGCCAGTCACCCAAAGTGACATTTTATTGTATTGATCTCATTTATTCCAACAGGATGGGGATTTGGGCTTGCATGATCTCCTGGCGAATTGATGCTGTATGGTTGTTCCTCCGTTTCTTTTTACTCATAGTCTTTATTTGTAGCAATAGTATATCCATTCCTCTCTACAAGTCCACATATGGTATCATTGGCATAATCTTGTCCCATGGCCCCCACATAACATAGAGTGATCTGGCTGTCCTGTCTCTAATCAGCCAACCTGCGATACACATGAACCTGGAACCGCATATCCTCCAATCCCGCCCCTTCACCAACATAATACCGCAGCCTGGCCGCATCCCTCCGCCACCAGCGTGAATCCTGCTCATATATCTTCTCCCATTTCCCCGCGGCAACCGACAATAGTGTATGATCTAGTAGGAACTTCATCGGATACCGTCTTTCCTGCGGCGCCGCCGAGGCGCCATCCGCCTCCGCGTCCTTCTTCCCCGGCTTTCCCAGTTTCAGAGTCGAATAGCTACCGGGGCTATCAACAACCAGAAAGACAGTCCCTGCTGTCAACAGATCCGTCGCGCGAAGCAAGAACTCGGTCGTCTTGGCCATAGACGTCGAGAAGAGCTCGTTAAGCGTGAACATGAGCGTGACCAGGACTGTGCGGGCCGGTGCCGCCGCGTCCTGTAAATGCAGTATTTTCTTTAATCCCTCCTCAGCAAGCGAGAGCACATCCGCGCGTTCAAATCTAACGACAAAGCTGTCTGCACTTTCCGGCTGTAATGGCGCAGGATGCGATTTTGTGCCCGGAACAGCGGGAGACCGGATCGTCCGCGCCAACCGGTCCACGACACTCGACCAGTCGGCGATATCCACAGCCGTAACAGCCAGCCCTGGCTGTGGCGATGAGGTCGCAGCTGTCGCTGTATCTTGATTTTGACACTGGCCGCCGCTCTCGTCGTTCAGCGAAACCGTACCAATACTATCCGAGAGCGCGGCCTCGTCCATCATATCCCTCCATGCAGTGGCAAGCGCCATGATCTCTGCGCCGGCTCCGCCGCCAATACAGACGATATGGCTCGTCTGCTTCACCTTCGCCTGGGCCTGGGCCTGGGCCTCAGCTCCATCACTTCCACTCAACAACATCCGCAACACAGACTTGAGAATGCCCGCATACCCCAGCGCGCGGGACGCACTCCAGCGCAGCGCATAAGCGCGCAAGAGGTCCTCATCAGCATCAGCAAACGCCGATTCAAAGTCGCGATTATACAAATGGGACTTGATAGTTTGGACCAGAGACTTGATATCTAATTTTTCTTTTCCCGCGGGGGCGGTCGTCTGGGCCTCGGGTTCGCTGTCAGCCTCTGCCCTAGGCGTTTGTGCCCTATGTTCATTTTGATGCTCATGGTCATGGTCATGATCCTGCGCCCCATCACTTGTAAGCAAAGCCGTCTTGAATACGTTCAGCAGCAGTTGCTGGAGAGTCAGCGGGATGGTGGCGGAGAGACCGATCTGGTTCCCATCCTGACCGGTTTGGTCATGTCGCGACGTTGCTGTTTCCTGTTTGCTCTGCTGCGGCTTTTTCTTTTCTTTTCGGCTGTCGCGGCCTGGGGCGTTCTTTGATGATGTAGATTTCTTTGAAGCACCTGATCTTGGTGGTCCCATATCCTTGGATATTGTTGCAGATTGCGGCTTTTGATTGGGTTGCTTGAGTTTTGCTGGCTGGCTTTGGTTATGTATTTTTTACCTGGTATTCGGCCCGTCATCCACCGATTAAAATCAGATTTAGGTCGCGATGGCAGGTTTACTACCTACAACGTTAATAATATTCATCATGTTTCTTCAAGTTGATATTGCGAAACAAGTATCACATTCGAACTAGTCTGCAGGAAAACAGACATGACATAATTCGTAATGCAGATCTATGCTCAAGAGCTACATGGCCTACAATCGGCCTCAAAAGCCCTCAACATGTAAATGTTTCGTATTCGACAATGATGATTGGAGTGTAGATTCACTGACATGTAGCCTCACAAATGTGCAGTTTGTAACGCCAAAGATAATTGAAAAGCCTCGGTGAATGCGAGAGGCATATCCATCGTGGGACAAGAAAGAACAAGAAGCGCCCATATAACGTGGCCACCACCGTCAATGCAACGATGTTGACAAATGCGCAAATGACCGCCAGAGATTAGAAGGGGAAAAAAGAGGCTAAGAATGAATGAAGAGAAATAAAATGCAACGGCATTGCTTGCCCATAATAACAATCGGACATCAACGAGGGACAAGAAATTGAAACAGAGCATCATACTCTTACGCTTGAAAGGCATGCCGAGAAAAGAGATTCGTCAGTAATCTCAACCGAAATGGGAAAGTAGCAGAAAAGCTGGAGTGGTCCCGCAAGGAATGAACCTGCAAAGACCATGCGGAATGAATCGTTCATAATGTAGATCAATATGTACAGAATTAAAAGTGAAATCGTTGAAGTGGCGGAAACTGTTCATGATGGCTGATCTGCTCGAACAGCCTCGTTCAGCTTCTCCTTGTCTTTCGTCCTCCAAAAATGTACGAGACGGCTGATACGACGGCTCTTCTTCTTTGACTTCTCAGAAACATCACTCGGAGGCTTTTCCTCGTAACTCAGTTTGCTTCTCTCGCCATGAGGACCACCAACGAGTTTGGATAAACTAGCCAAGCTTGACCTCTTCTGGCTGTGAGCTTGACTGCTGCGGCGAGTGCCGGCGGCAGAAAAAGAAGCCGAGCGGTCAGTGGAAAGTCGAGAACGATGGAAGAAGGTGCCTGAGAACCGATTCAACGTATTTGTTGTGGTCGACACACTGCTGGTTAAAGACGGCACATCGTCCACTGAAGCCTGATGATAATCCACAGATGGATTGTACGATGGGTTGGAGAAGTTGTGATCTGTTGTCGAAGCTGTTGTGATAGAGCGAGGAGCATCGGAAGAAGACAAAGTGAAGTCCGGAGACGGGAAAGAAGATTGAGATAGCGAACAGCTACTCTGTAGGGAAAATTGGGGGATGGTGCCAGTGAGTTCCAGAGGAGAGGTCGCCGGTCGGGTGTCAGCAGGTAGAAATCGTGGTGAAATTTCAGGACTGGGGGGCACTGGCGGTTTGTTCGGCCAATTTTCGTGCTTGATGATTTCCACCGGGCTCTTTGGATGGCTTGTGAAAGGATTCTTAGCACTGTGGAGCTGGTCAACAGCCCTCTCATGTGCAGATAGTCCGGGATCCCCAGAGGTCTCCTGGCTCGCAGGAGCCGGGGTGGGAGCTTCCGGCCCTGTTCCCTCGTTGTTCTGGATGCCGAGGCCAGCTCTTTCTGTGCTGGATCCGGCATCCGCCGACCTTCGAGTCAACGTGTCGGAGGTGGCCTTGCTATGCACCGTTATCTGGTCCGAATTATCGGGTTGTGGGACGACATTAGATTTGGAGGCTGCCTGATCTTCCGTCGGTGATTCACTAGTAGCCGCCAAAAAGGCGTCCTCCTCTTCCTCATAAAAAACATCAGGATTTTCCAGGCTGGAGGAATTGATAAGGCGATTGTTGAGAAAACTGCGATCAAAAGGAGGCATCTCCGGAGCACTTTCTGCACGTCGATGATAGCGCATTTCAGGCCCGACGAATTCACCCCGTCGTCCACCACTGTACATACGTCGGGACACAACAGAGAAGCCACTCCTGACACCTCTATCGGCACGCATATCAGGTGTGTTGAAGGGTCCTAGAGCTGCATCCAAATCGATGACTGGACTGAGAGCATCGTCCTGTACGCCCTGCTCGT